GCGCGGTTGTAAATGTATGACTACAGTACGCTGATGCCCGCTTCTGAATTGACACAAGATAGTGACATTCACAGTTCTAGAACTAGCTTAGTTGCTAACTCACATTAAAAACAAGTTTCCAGGAAGCGCTCGTGTACCTAACCTAGCTGAGACGCGGCGGCAAGCACACAGATGTGTTGGATCCACACTCATCGGTATGCCATGTCATCCCCCTCCGCCGTTAAGTCCATGTAGGTCCGCTGTTCCCGAGTGGACGTGGCGGTCTGGGGTGTGCTGGCCACGCTGTTCTGCCGCTGTATTTAAGACGCAATATTGCACATATGACCTACCACGACAAGCTGGAAGCTAAGCAATGAGAGGCGTTGGCTAGACGGGAGTAAGTATTCTGCACTGCATTGGCTGGCCCCCACTAAAAGGTAGCTGACCGATTCTGTGATGTGCCATACTGATCCTCGGCGCTCACTAACCGGACTGAATAAGCTGCTTCGATGGCCGGTGTCAGACATTGGCCACAGATGTTTAGCGATAGCGTAATTAAATTTATGGATGTTGCAAACCCACATCATTTACGATCCTAGGGAGGCTCAATAACGGTCAAGGTCCATGCTTGTGCCACATTAAGATGTAATCGTAACTTGCGTGGACCTAAAATAGCACCGTCCTGCGACTAACACAAGCACGTTTGATAAGAGTGGGATAGGCCCACACTTCACCCACGTCTGCCCTGGTCTGATAGATCAGCCATCATGCATAACAGACAACAGAGCATGTGAAAGTAGAAGAGGATAAGGGGGGTTAATATCAGCAGTTTTTTTTTGTTCCGCATTTAATTTAAGAGGCATGGAGTGGTCGACGAGGCGAGGCCTATAAATGCCGTAAAACTAACATACGCCAATCGCAGGGACTTACGGACTACACATCTCCAAAATATGTATCCGCGTATCCACACGCTGAGAACAGATCAAGAAATGTCATATGAACGTCAGAAAAATATAGCTGGCACAAATCAGCCCTGCAATGTATACTCTATCTTGCCGAGTAAAAGATAAGGGCAGCATATATCGCACAACATGCACTTGCACGAAGGACATCGCCGCTTATTTAAATGACATCAAAAGTGTAATGTGCTGTGATTTTTACGCCACGCTATACAGATGCGAGGTTGTTTGATCAATGGCAAATACAAACAATGAAAAACTTTGGTTTTGGCCCTAGACGTCACTGGAGTTGCAAATCGGAGTATTGTGATCTTTTTGGGGTGCTCCATCTCCCAAAAGTTTGTCGAAATCCTTTGGCAGGCTGTTGACAAACCTCCAGCCTGGATTTAGTGGCAAACTTGATCGGCTTCCGAGGAATGACTCTGCTTGAAACGGGCTTCACGGTGGTGCCACGTTCATGGCAAAAGTCGTCAGTGCTCAGACCACAACGAACTGCGGTGCGCAACATGTATTAGCACGACGGATACCATAAGTGCTATTCTTTTTGGGACAGCAGGCAGATGTCACCCACAGTTTCCACGTAGCCGACTCGGCATGAGTGAAAAATCCCATGCAGACATGTGTATGGAGCCCTCCAAATGGATACCAGCTTCCGATCCCAGGATCCTATCCCCAGGGCCGATCCAAGCACCCGATCCCATGGGTCTACTTACATGTAATCCTATGGGATCCTGGATCCACCCGTGGGATCCGGGTACATGTCTTCTCTAGTACGTATAGTAGAACCATGCGAAGTCCGCTATTGGAATTGTTGCAGGTTTTACCGTCATGATATCGGGGTCACGAAGCCTTGCGTTCTCACCTTCCACTGGTAGTGTCGAGGTCAGGAGAACCAGTCAGCGACGAGAATCTTTGGCCCCAGTTATCGAGCCTGCATTGACATCAAATCACAGGTCGGCGTTCAGGAGAACGCCATAAATTTTGCGTGCGGTTTATTGCTGCCCGTTGCGCTTCGTAGTGAGGTGACACACAAGCATCCTCTCCCAGGATGGCCTCGCATGTTCCTCACGGATTGATATCACTTCCCCAGGTCAGTATGCCATGGTGCACTCGGTCACAGGCGACATTGTGACCGAGGGCTTAATGCCCACGGATTCCAGGCCCCTTCGCATTAGAGCAGATAACGTCCATCGGACGTGATTCATTGGCCCTGTGAAACCGCGAGGGTCTTTCACTTGGGTTGACATACGGTAGTCGGGACTATTGCTGGGTTCAATTCATACCCCATCTCCCATGGCTACAGCCTTTTATGATCTCAATGGAGGTTGAGCTTTCACCCAGCACAGCCAGCGGGCGCACGCAAACGACATCGATTTCATCTGCCCTGACCGGCCGCAGCGGCAGCTGTTGCACGTGTCAGAATCCAGCTCTCGGCTCGGAGATTGTTTCCAACACATCGCGCCAGCAGAAGCTGAGGTCGAAGTTCCCATATAGTACACATAATAGTACACTACCCCCCACCTCCCCACTCCAACCGGTGGACGGCTTCAGAAAGCGAGGATACGATACAGGTCACTTTGGAACTGCACGGTCCTCAGGGTTCCAGGACCTAGTTTCATACAGCGGAAGTACAAGCCTACACGATTTTATTCGCATCGGATAAACTTGTGGACTCAATCAATTTGACACGTCCTGTTTGTCCGATGTCTTGAGAATAGAAACATCCAGTGAAATATGTTCGTCTCCTGTTGGTAGGCCCAAACGGGGCAATTGAAAATTGCTTGAGTTCGTATTTTCGTTTCAAGAGACAAAGCTGAGACCAGTTGTACTAAATGAGACGATTAGATTCGTTTGTCGAGTAGAAAAACGTCATGAAGCCACCTAGCGTACGATCCACACGTCCACATCGGGACGCGGGTCCCAGCCTCCTGTTGTGAAACGAGCTGTATGCGACAATACTCAACAGAGTCTCCGCCACGCAAACAACGCACGGGACAGGCCTCCATCTTCACGTTCCCTGGTCACCCCGCCACAGTCTCCGTCCGTCCCGCCTTGCGCCCCGGGCTGCAGGGCGTCGCAACGGCTCGCGCGCACACGCAGTGCTCCTCGAGTCGATAAGGAGACGCGAGGGCGGACGCGTAACCGTCGCAGCTCACCAGCACAGCGCGTAAAGGGATCAGCGCCGAGGCCACGGGCCGAGTGGGGCCGGAGATTGGGGTCGGGATGGGGCGGAGGACGCTCGATACGCCCTGAGTCACTCATCTCCCACCGCTCGTCGGCTTCAGCGCCGCCGCCGCCGCTCGCGCCGTCTGCTGTCTCGCGGCAGCCACGGCCGACTCAGGTCATCCTGCGTCGGCGCGGTTTGGACAGGGTTGAACGCCGGAGCGGTGGTCACCGCACGGAAGCGATCCTGTTTTTACGGTCGTTCGTTACGGTCATTTGTCTGCCGGGAAGTGATGCTCCCTGTTGTACACTGTACGTTGTGCAGTGATGCTCCCCGTATTCAAGCGTATGTTCTTGCATTGTCTGGGTGTAACTAGACAGTGGTTTTTGTGTGCTTTTTGTGTTCAGATCCTCAGCCGGCTTGTAATTAATGCGTGCACAAGCTGAAGAACATGTAGAACAGCAGCATACCTAGCCGCACAAAACTGGAGACGCCGAAATCACACTTTATGAAAATTGGAAGGAACAGTTCCCTCTTGCCCCCCTCCCCTCTCCAGGCGTGGATACTCTCATGCGTATTACTCACTCCCCAAAACTATGTATTTTGCATTGGAATTCAACGACACCCTGCGTAAGTTGTTAGATGCATTTGCGAGGAGCCTTATGCACGTGGATGAGGCGGGAGTCAAAGCCTTATTCCCCGTAGAAAGACCGGAAGAATGGAGATATAGATGCATTGACTTTTTTTTGTTACTTCTGCTATTCGTTTCGATAAAGGCGTGTTGCTGAAATGTCGACGCATTTATATTTCCATTCTCCTGGTTTTTCTACGAGGAACAAAACAATTACTACTGTCTTATTAACGACACCCTGTCCCCCTTCAAGCAGACTGATTATCGCGTTACCAAGTACCGTATATCCGGCAACGTCTCGTCTGCTTAGCTGTGTCACATCGTCTTAATCTTTACATGTTCACCGAATGAGTGACGCCATAGGTGTCAGTCAATACTAGACTGACTGATTGGCAGACAGTGCCCCAGTTTAGTGCGTCGAGCATTTCCCTGGACAGCGGTCGGTTGTCATTGCTGTAAATCTTTAAAATCATGCGTGGCTGGAATTTCAGACATTTACGAAGATAGAGGATATCCGACAGAAGCCTGTTCAGCGATGGTGTCTTCACCTACGGAACCAGCGGAGGGATTCAACCTTGTCCCTCCGAGGCCGGGGCACAGTGATCCCGTCTCCGGTGTTCCGCTCTAGTGAACGGTCACGTCCATCCTCCTTCCATGAGAGCTGTGTTACAACGTTTCTTTTCCTTTTTACAGGCGGCATGCCGTCCCTTTTCCGCTCCTCATGGCGGTGGTGCATCATTCCTCCCGGCTCGATTACCGCCCATTCCATACCTCCAGTGGCCCCTTGCCCTTATGCAAAGCTGATGTATTCTGCCCTGACTGTCGGGTCGGAGCATAGCCCCGCTCATCCCCTATCTACCGAGATGCAGCTCCGTCTCCCCTCTCTCTCCCCCTTGCACGGTCCCCTCTCTTACCCTTTCCACGACCCTTCTCTCCTCTTTGCACGGTCCTTCTTTCTCCCCTTCAGGACCGGAGCACGGCCCCTCTCTCCCCCCTTGCACGATCCCCCTCTCCCCCTTTCCACGACCCCCTCCCTCCTCTTTGCACGGTCCCCTCTCCCCCTTCAGGACCGGGGCAACAACTCCGCCTCTCCCCTCCAGGGGCGGAGCGCAGTCCCGTCCCCCTCCTCCACAGCGGGAGTACGGTCCCGCCCCTTGCCCGCAGGTGGCGCCGGTGGCGGCCGCGCCGCGCCCCCGTCGGCGGCCGGGTCAGTCCGTGCGTGACGCCGGTTGCGGAGGGTCCCCAAGCTGCCTGATCACGCGCACTGACTGCTCTCACCGATCCGATCCGATCCGATCCGATCCGATCCGATCTCACGTGAGACGCTGGCCACCCCGGAGCAGCCCGGCTCACAGCGAGAGGCCGGGAGCTGCGTCTGAGCTGAATGTGGCGCCGCTGGACTGAGTCGCCCTGCGTAGCACAAGGTAAGGACTGAAGAAATGTGCTTAATTAGTAGTGGGTTCACGATGTTTGAGAAGCGGACTTCCACGCAGTGGATGACATCGCAAGCGAGACATCGGCAGGGCTCTCGGATGACATAATAGCCAGAGGCGGCTATGCCCACACACAATGAATAAAACTTCCTCTGTAAAAAACTTGATATACGGGAGGCAGCTCGTCCCTTCCCCACCAAATGTTCGCGCGACGTTATCTGGAGATGATGTGGATGGATGCCATCGGCATTTTTCACCACAAATGGCTGTGAACCCCCGCCATGTGAGGGGTCTTTCTTACCTCATGTCTACGAGGTGCCATCTGAGCCCGCATGATTGGTAGCGTCGGCTAACCATTACGGGCGATAACTTCAATACTTGAGTTTCACGTTTTCCGGAATGTACCCGCCTGCCAATGCGCATCTGCCGCGTAGTGCAAGGACATGCCCATGTATGGCGGTCAGTCACTGGTGGTCTCACGGTTTGTTATGATTCCAATTAATTGACTGCTATTTGATATGAAAACTCTTATGTTCAGTTCACACACAGCAAAGGTGGTTATCTTTTGTATGCATGCGTACGTGCATTTGCACATGCTCTGTGGGATATAAAGTATGTGAAATCCGGAAGCATACGATTACCTGTTTAAAGTGGCTATCAGCCAAGGGGTTATGTTCCCAAACGCGAAAACATGCAGGGCACAGGATCGCAGCTTTTTCATACATTTTGTATGCGTCCTTTCGACAGGGTGATATTACTGCTGTGTGATCTATCATAATAGCATAGCGTAGTCGATTTCTTAATGCACACTTCTTCTGCTTACATGTAAGTCCCGGTATCCACTGCACGTGCGTTTCAACTTTCCAAATGCACCGTAGCGTTCGAGTACACCCCAGAGCACCATGCCGTCCTCTGCGCGCCCCACTCACGTACCCCACTCACGCGCCCCCACTCACGCGTCGCACTCATGCACTCAACTCATACACCCCACTCACGCGCCTCATTCATGCGCCCCCACTCACGCGCCCCACTCACACGCCTCACTCACACGCCGCACTCACGCGTCCCACTCATGCACCCCACTCATACACCCCACTCACGCGCCCCACTCACGCACCCCACTCACGCGCCTCACTCACGCATCCACTCACGCACCCCACTCATACACCCCACTCACGCGCCTCACTCACACGCCGCACTCATGCACCCCACTCACGCACCCCACTCATACACCCCACTCACGCGTCTCATTCATGCACCCCACTCACGCACCCCACTCACACGCCTCACTCACACGCCGCACTCACGCGTCCCACTCATGCACCCAACTCATACACCCCACTCACGCGTCTCATTCATGCACCCCACTCACTTTTTTCCACTCATGCACCTCACTCACGCACCCGACTCACGTACCCCTCTAGCACACCCCACTGACACGCCTCACTACATCAGCATCGGACAAGAAGACGACCTCGAGGTCACGGACAATGGCCGGGGCCGCCGGCGCGCCCGGCCCCTTTCTGCGGTCACTCGCGGTGTCACGGGGCCGCGCTCCCCGCCGTGGCCGGCGCACGCAGCCGTCCAATTAGTGTCGCTCCGCCGACCCCGCTGCGTGGCTCAATTCCCACCGAGGCATTCATGACGCGCCGAATTCGCCTGCGACTGACGGCACGGAAACGCCGGACGACCAGATAGTTATGCATTCGTGCGGGAATTGAAGGTAAGCCAGAATGGCAGAGTGCGGTTTGACGAACTGCCTCTTTGGCTGAGGTTTGGTAAAGGACTTCTTGCATGCGGTTTAGGCGCAAGAATCTGGGGTAAGTTCACCGTGCTAGGGAGTGCACACGGTGATATACACATAGATATACCACTGTCTTAGATCCTAGTCTTAGATAACAGGCCCAAATGTGACGCGATAAGTCCCTCGGAAGTCTGTGACAGCCTTCATTCGCCCAGCTCCGTTATCTTTCATTATGTATCCACATACAGCATGAGTCATGATGCCTTATCAGCACACGTCACTGTGTACCGGGCATGGGGTGCTCGCGACTGGCGAACACGGCTCCGTATCATTGCCGTGGTCATTCACGATGAAGCAGCACTGCGCCGAGTCTGCGACTGCTGGAGGCGACTTCGGTTTGTTGAGGTTGTGCGAAACGACTACGTGTAAGCACAAACCGACTTCCCAGATTAGCCCGAAATAAACAGGCGCGCTGGTGTCTGTCCGTCCCCTCGGGCGACCCGGAACAGCGCGTGCTTCTGTCCGGGTCACGTGCCCCCATTAGCGGTCCGCCGACCAAGCAGAGGGCGAAAATTCCACCTGAAAGCCAGCATCAACACGTGCCTTCTGCCGGCCATTTCAAAGCGGCGCGTGTCTGTTGCCATGGTCGGGCTGCGGGCCGCGGGCCGCGAAGTCCCCTCCGTGCCTCGGCTGCAGCTCCGGCCGGGAGCTCAGGAGTTCCGGAGCTCCAGCTTCAGGAGCTCCGGCTCTGAGACCCGGACGGACCGCTTGGACGCCGAGGTCGTATGGCCGTCTACCGGGGCGCCGCGGCCGGGCTCTGTGACCTAGGGAAGTCGTGAGACGCCGAGGTCGTATGGTCGTCTACTGGGGCGCCGCGAGTGGGCTCTGTGACCTAGGGAAGTCGTGAGACGCCGAGGTCGTATGGTCGTCTACTGGGCGCCGCGAGCGGGCTCTGTGACCTAGGGAAGTCGTGAGATGCCGAGGTCGGATGACCGCCCCTCATTGTCCCTTAAAAGGTCCTGCAGCTCTTTGACAATGATCCTACTCGAGCAGAGCATTGTGCACAGTATGATGCGCGCAACGCCAAAGGTCAAGGCGCCGTTAAATCACAGCACGCGTTGGTTTTCAGCCATTGTTGTTGCCATGCACTAAGTCAATGTCATGTCGTGGGTGATTATACGAATCGTTTTGCCACGGCGCGCCAGCTAGCAGGGCATGAGGTCAGCACTGTGCAAGGGATGGAGCTTTGCTGTCACTGAGAAATAAACGGAAGAAATCCAGCCCCAATTCAGCGTGATTTTAAACCATTAGACCCTGTGCAATAGCCAGGATTTCGATCGCGACGGAGTCAAATCGGACAAAGTGGACCATTTCAAGCCACGTGGGCCCCACTTTAGGGCTAGCATGGCCTAGTTTTGGATTCGGGAACCCCATTTGGCTCTGGATCCCATTTTGATGCTTCGAGTGTCTGATTTTGATGTCTTGGAAGCCCCTTCGAGGTTTTAAATTGCTAAAAAGGATTAGGGGCTTTGACCACGGGGGTGACCCCGTCACCTCCAGGGGGGGGGGGGGGATGACCCCAATGTCCCTCCGCTCTAACGACGCCATTAGTTAGAACAATCACTGTAAAATTGATGTTATGAAACGTTTGCAGGCGCACTGAAATGAGTGCCAGCTGGGTATGCGTGGAACAAAGTGATTTGGACAGATGCGAATGGCACAACGCGCCGTCTTCGCTGTTCTAATAGTCCGGTAATTCGCGCAGTCCGCTTCTGGAGAGGGGTCACCCTTCACCAGCTCTGCACGCGCCACGCGGCCGCTGGAGCGAGGCGGTAGCACTCTTCACAAAATATTACCGACACAAGCCAGACGTAGTGTTAGCACCCGCACACCATTAACGCCACATGCTGGCGGGTCACGACGCTGACGCTTCAAGCTTAGCAGAGGCTGTTCCTGTCACTTCTCTTTACACTACGAGCATCCCCTATCTGCGATACATGTATCACAGCACCACATTTATATGCTGCGCTATCGCGCACCATCGCATCCATTCATGAACGCCGCGACCGCTGTCCCGCTTTGGAACACGTCCCCGCGCAAACGGCGCAAATGGACGAAGCACGCAATCCGCGGCTTGCGAAGCGCCGCCTCCGGTCACGCCGATGTCCGCACGCGTCCCGCTGAATAGGAGAGTGATTGCCCTTCAAGCGGCGACGGTGCGCGTCATCGAGCGATGACCCTGATGTTCTCATGATGATGGAGCATTGCGGCGGCGCCGCTTTAACCAAACGTTTTGCTCGGTCACGATTGAGAGATTGCTCGTTTCTGGCGTCGCCGACGTCTCCAGGATAGATGACCCGCGCACGTCTGCTCGCTGGATGCGACCTCACTCCGCATGCCGCCTGGCCCCTCCCTCAATCGGTCCCAGGACCGGCGGAGAGACGGGGAGCTCTTGCAGCGCCCCTGGGGAGATCGATCGTGCGGCCGGGCCCACGGGTGCCTATCTGTGACAGCTGTCATGGGGGCCGCTGACAGCGATGGCTCTCTCCTATGACAGACAGCTGTCCTTGGAGGATGTGACGGCCGTCTGTCGATGGCCTGGGACTGGGTTGCGTGGGCGAGGGATCTCAGTGACGCTGCTGTTGTACTGGTGCCGTATCAACTGAAAGAGAATGTTTCACATTTGAAGATATGGGAGCAGGCATCAGATATAACGAAATAAGCTCGCTTATACCTATTGCTATAGTTTTTAAGTGAGACAGACTGTTCTAGACAGCACAATTGTCTGTTAGGTAAATACGCTCCTCGGTGTGTCATGGTTTAATTACATCATCGCACCTTGCACAACAATGATTGGGAACCAATGGACAGCCGTTGCATCTGGAAATCGTGCTCACATGCGCCAGATGTGACCGCCTTCACAATTATTTTTTCTTGGCCTATATTGCGCCATCTTTTGTGGAATGGCAGAATTGCGTGACGTTATTATGAAGTCATTAATGCCAACTGACTTTGAATTGCTCTTCCCAAATACTCCCCCCATTTTCGCGGGCGTGTAGCTCAGAAGCTTGGGGTGTTTAGGTCTTAAGAAGAGCAGGGATGTGAACAGCATTGAAAGGTCTTCAAGATGGCTGTTTGACTTCAAAACCCCATGTAAATGTGGAACACTCCATTTAACACGCGCCCGGGTGGCCGGTTGGATACCCTTCGCTCAGGTGTAGGGGGGGGGGGGGTTATTTGACCTCCTGAAATCTCAGGAACTGAGGGAGCTAGGGACACAAAATTCACAGGCTGTATTGACCTGCATGTGGACTCGCTAAGGAAAACTTTCAGGTTCCCAGGTCATGACCTTCGAGTCAAGTAAGGTCAAACAAGGTAAAATTCCAGGTTGATCTCCAAAGGGACCTAGAACCTAGATAACTGCTCTCAGCAAAAAGCCACATACTCATCTAAGGTCCGGTGGCCTTTTTTGATTTCTTGAAGGTCATGGTGACTAAAATCATACAAGACCATTTAAAGTTTTGCCTTTGGATAAGCGACAAACATTACGCTAGGCGGTATGTTCCTAAAAGCAAGATATTGACCTGGGTCATTCTGGGTCAGTGACCTTTTCTGACATTGAAGAAGCCTATGGAAGATGCATAATGCGGTTTCTGTTATCATTAAATTCGAAATGAGCGCCAGGAACTTACCCATGCAGCGAGCGCTAAAGCAATACAACAGGTTGGTTTTAACCTTGATAGGACCTTATACCTGACATTTGGTCAATGAAATTTGTTCATTTAATTGTTCTGTTACCTAAGAAAGTATCTCAGAGATGTATGCCTTCGTCTACCACCCCCGTTGTTAGATCAGTTTGAACAATTCCCTAGAAACTACCTTCGCTAAAAGCCTATTCTGACTTGACCTGCCATAGGTCAGCGACCTTACAAGGTACATCTAAATTTGTAACCCCAGACGGTCCGCTATTCAAATGTCTACAGCTCTGCAAAATTTAGCGCGGCTACGCCGCGACGTTCGGAAAACATTGTGGAAAAACCTTCAGGGGAGGTCAATTTGACGCGCACCTGAGCGGTGTTAACGGACGTAACCGGCGTAACAGCGCGCAACCGGCGGTTGACGGCTGTTGTTGGAGTCGCGACAAGGTTTGCGATGAGGTGCATTTCGCCCATCAGTGGACTTTTCTTTATGATGTGCCCATCCAATGGCTCTGTTTTTGGTGACGACTCAAAGATCTGCAGCTTCAAATGCGCTCAACTGATACCGTTGTAAGGGATGACACTTCGGTTTGATTATCAAATGTCTACGAAAAGACATCATAAATACCAACTATCAACCTTAAATAAATACGAACTATTCCAAGGAAAACCATCCTTCTCAGAGCAGATGCAATTTTTGTGAGTAAGGTGCTTGACCATTCGTTGTCTCGTCAAGACCTATGACCTTGGTATACAGGGTCTTCCCTATGACCTTTTCTTCCCAGTTCAGACCACAGCATAGACCTGACAATCCATCATCACTCCCCAATGAATGACCCTGGAAGCAAGAAACCATCTTAAGCATCATGCTTGATCGCCCAGGGTTTGCCAGGTGCAATAAAGCGCTCTCATTTTACAGGACATTTCCATGAGGATGTCCAGATGAGACCACGGTTGTAGCGAAAAGGATGACCAGCTCCACCCTGGAGCTCATCTACAGCCCGAAGTCTTCCAGCTACATCACTCAGGTAACGGTCAGACACTTCTTTAGCACGACCACTGCCCTCGACGTGATTACATTCTCTTACCATCTTACGTTCATAACCGATCCTAGGCTCACTCCCGATGTCGTCCGCCTACACCGTGACGTCAGTTGCACACTGTACCTTATTTGTATCGTCCTCTGATTTTCGCTACATTCTCTGCTAGCACGCACAATATTTCCTACGCACCCAACACACATTTGCGATGATCCTTCCCGTGCATTTTGTTCTGGCCTGGCCAGCTCGACGGCCCCGTTGTATGGTCCTGACACCTGTCTCGTGTGGCAGGTTCTGGCCACACTGGCCAGCTCGACGGCCCCGTTGTATGGCCCTGACACCTGTCTCGTGTGGCAGGTTCTGGCCACACTGGCCAGCTCGACGGCCCCGTTGTATGGCCCTGACACCTGTCTCCTTGTGTGTCAGGTTCTGGCCACACTGACCAGCTCGACGGCCCCGCTGTATGATCCTGACACCTGTCTCCTTGTGTGGCAGGTTCTGGCCACACTGACCAGCTCGACGGCCCCCGCTGTATGATCCTGACACCTGTCTCCTTGTGTGGCAGGTTCTGGCCACGCTGGCCGTCTCGATGGGCCCGCTGGCGGTCGGGTTGGGCAAGGGCTACAGCTCGCCGGCGCTGGCCTCGCTGGCCGGGCCGGCGTCGCTGGGCGGCCTGGCCATCTCGCCGGAGGAGGGCTCCTGGGTGGCCAGCCTGTCGCTGCTGGGCGCGCTGGTGGGCGGCCTTCCGGCGGGGCTGGCGCTGCGGCTGGGCCGGCGGCGCGTGCTGGCCGCCGTCGCGCTGCCGTTCGCCGGCGCCTGGTGGCTGGCCGCCGGCGCCGGCTCGGTGCGCGCGCTGTACGCGGCCGCCTTCGTCAGCGGCCTGTGCTCGGCCGTGGTCGCGCTCGTCACGCCCGTCTACGTCAGCGAGATCGCGCAGGCCGCGTGTGCGCGGCGGCCTCTGCGCCGTTACCAAGGTGGCCTCCAACGCGGGCATGCTGCTGAGCTTCAGCCTCGGTGGCTTCCTCGACTGGCGGCAACTGGCGCTGGTCGCCTCGGCCGGACCGCTGCTGCTGGGTGCTGGCCTGCTGTGCCGTGCCCGAGACGCCCAGCTTCCTGCTGTTCCGAGGCCGCGAGCGCGAGGCCCAGGTGGCACTGCAGTGGCTGCGCGGCGCGCGCGCCGACGTCGCCGCAGAGCACGCCGTGCTTCGCGCCAACATCCTCCAGATCCGCGCCGGCAGCGGCGGCGGCGGTGCAAGCGGCGTCGGCGGCGTGCCCGGGCGGCCGCGTGCGCTGCTGCGGCCCCTCCTCGTCACGTGCGGCCTCATGCTGCTACAGAAGTTCTCCGGCGTCAACGCCTTCAGCTTCTACGCGGTGCCGATCCTGTCCAAGACGTTCGCGCGCACGAGCGCGCACGGCGCGGCGGTGGTGGTGTGCCTGCTCCAGATCCTGGCCGGTCTCACCTCGGGCGTCCTGATCGACACGGTCGGCCGGCTGCCGCTGCTGGCCGTCAGCAGCGCGCTCATGTCGCTAGCGCTGGCCGGCTTCGGCACGTTCGTGTACGTGGTGGATGCGAGCCAACTGCTGACGGACGGCCAGCAGGCGCCGCTCGACTGGATCCCCATGTCGTGCGTGCTCGTATTTCAGGTGGCCTTCTCGCTGGGCGTCGGGCCCATCTCGTGGCTGCTGATTGGCGAGCTCTTCCCGCTGAGGCACCGCGGCCTCGGCGCGTTCGCCACCTCGGTCAGCTACGGCTGCGCGTTCGTCAGCGTCAAGACGTTCGTGGACCTGGAGCGAGCGCTGGGTCTGCACGGCGTGTTCTGGCTGTACGCGGCCGTCTCGGCGCTCTGCCTCGTCTTCGTGCTGGCGTGGGTGCCGGAGACACGCGGCAAGGAGCTCCCGGAGATGGAGAGGACCGGCTGCTGAAGAGAATAGGCCCAGACAGCCGCGGTTACATATCAGCTGAACTGCCGGGCGCGGCAGTCGATGGTATGGAGGATTGCCGATGGAGGAAGAAGGAGAGAGAGAGCGTTACCTGCCAAAACGCTGAGAAGTTAGGTGGGCAAGGTGGTCAATATCCCAAGCGCTGCAGGAGGGCTGAGAGGAATGACCCCGGGCTGCAACCGGTGGAGGCCTCGTCTGGATAGTGGAAGCATAGGCATGCAAATACTGAGAGAATTGGCGGACTGGAGAACGTGGCGAGCGGTTCCAGAAGACGGTCGACTCACTGAGGTGGTAACGTTCGAAGCCCCAGAATCAGTCAAGCTGCCGCTGGAACTGGTCAGCCAGGAGAGGCCTGTCGGCTGAGTTATCAAAATCCGGCACGCTTCTGAAGGGATCAACGGAGAAAGGGCAGCGCTGTATCACTCCAGCTCCTGTCAGGGAGGTCAGACGAGAAGAGCTGCTCGAGGGGCAGGAATGAGGAGACGGATCGGTCAGTAGGCTGGCTACAGTGTCGGAGAACACGCTGCCTGAGCGACAGCTCGGTCGTTGAGCAGACTAACGGACCAGCGGAGACGAGCGCTGTTGTGACAGATAAAATGGAGTGGGTTAGCGCGCGAAGATGAAAGTGGCTGAAGGTACCCAGAGGCGATGAAAGCAGAGAGGCACGTCGCATATATGTTGAATGTGAATGCTGATGGAGCTTTTCAGTCTTCCACGCCCTACCATCTACCTCCGTATTGTTTGTAGCGCCGCATGCCAGTACAATCCACATCCCTGGGCCAAGCGGTGGCCCGAGTTAAGACACGCTTGTTTTTCTACGTCGAGCGCCGGGCGTCCATCCGCCACGTTTGTTGTTACTAATCGGAGTTGTATGTTTGTTATGTATCATTCAGCAGCATAGGCGCTCCTCACGTACTATTGTATTGTTACCAGCCGATCTCAACCAGCTGCTCTGTGCACCCTTCAAAGTGTCTTGTAGTACAACTTCGCCAGCAGTGAGGCTTTAACCAACGCGTCGTAATTTACAATAGAACAGCTCTACGCGCACATCGCAGAAGTTTGGAGCGTGACGGTGCAATGTTTCAACAAAAGCGGATGCGCTAGCGTGACGATGACGTTAGCGTTATGTCTCACGAGCATATCAGCGTGTGGGTGTGGCCAAGGCCAGGCAGCCATTGTTTTCTGAGCAAATGCCCTGACCTTGGATCCGCCATCAAAAGAAGTTAGTAACATTTCGGCACGTGCGACCACGAACACTACACCGACAGCACTCCCGAAAGAAAACCGCTCTCAGTGTAACGTAGTGAGCCTTGTTATAGACTTAACTAGCTGGTCTTGTCGATGAGATTTGTCAGTTTTACCTGCACCGCATTCTCAAGCAGAGCGTAATTAAATCATCTGGTGTAAGCCTGTATTTATAAATATGGGTTTCATTTCTCTTTTAAAATACTGCTAAAAGCGCTGGACTCCGCTCATAACTGCTATTATTCGTCGACCGTGACTGAAAAATAGTCGTTTATTCACTCCGGCGCTTCCGTTTTCCCATTTTTCCTCTCCTTTCCGAGGCTTTGTGTTGTTCCATTTTTGCTCACCGCCTCTCCTCGGCACCGTCAGCAGAAGAACACCATTCCGAGCCCGTGTTTTCTTCCTCCATTTACTCAGCAAACTTCCTCCCTCTGGTTAGGGCCGGGTCCTTTCTTCTGCCGGCACGGCCGGCGAGCTGTTTTTGTCCGCCTGTCAACCACGAAAGGCGGTGTCATCCGGGTCCCCTGGGGCCTGTCGTCGCAGCCAAAACGCTGAGCAGACTGCGGCCGCTCAGAAACGCCTCTGAGGTATTTCAAACACCAGCTATCTGCGGAGACTGCCCGCTGGCTGGATGCGGCACATTCAAAGGGAACAGCTTCCAGTGATATGATTCAGCGCCGGTGCGGGCCTCGGAGGCCAGTGTGTACTTGGGGCTGATAGCGGGGCGAGGAACTCAGGACGCCGCACCGGGGACAACGTCGATGTGACGGCGGACAGCTTATGGCGGGTGGTCAGGACCGCGCGAGCGCGAGCACTCGGTAAGGGATCCACAAAATTCGACGGCTGCATGTTAACGCAGCGACCTAAGGCATTTTCACGCGTCTAAGTGTAAGTATATTGTAGAAAATGTGTGTGTGTGTTGTGCAGTCGCGTCCGGCAACGCGGCTCCGGGATAACTCGATTTGTATTAACCCAAAAGTTGCATCACATCATGAAATCTTCACGGGTCTTCATTTTTGCAGTGTTTCACAAATGAATAGCTTGTCCGGAAACATTTCTGCGAGCTACATTCGATCGGTTTGTCATGCGTCACATGTCGCCATTTCATTGAGCCACTTATGTTTAACGACGGAGTAAGCGGTAATGAGGCAGTCCTTAACCACGTAACCTGTCCAAAAGTGTTTCAAGGGGATAATGCGATGGATCCAAACAGCAAGCGAGCGGTCATCTGGCCAAGCTACAGGGGAAGATGCTAATCTTCGTCAAGTCGTTGACGTATTTTGTCGTGGTGAATTCGCTTCTTAGATCCACCGGCAGTAGCCCGCAATCGGTACCATCGGTCGAACCGCGGACCCTCAGATCCTCGGACTGCAGCCACACAGACCCTCAGATCTCCAGGCTGCAGACCCAGGAACCCTCAGATCCCCGGGCCGCAGCCACGCAGACCCTCAGATTCTCAGGCCGCAGCCAGGCACACGCTCAGATCTCAATGCCGCAGACCCGGGGACCCTCAGATCCCCGGCCGCAGACCCGAAACCCTCAGATTCCAGGCCGCAGACCCGGGAACCCTCAGATTCCAGGCCGCAGACCCGGGAACCCTCAGATCCGCAGGCCGCAGACCTGCGGACCCTCAGATCCGCAGGCCGCAGACCCGCAGACCCTCAGATCCTCAGGCCGCAGACCCGCAGATTCTCAGATCCCCAGACCACAGGCCCGCAGGACCCGCAGACTCTCCCTCTATGCGAGCAGGTGATTTTTCCCTGCCACATCCACAACCGTACGGCGCCCTCAAACCTACAAAAACGGCAAGTGATCGTCCTGATATCCTGACGACTGCATAGCCTTTGACGCACGTGCGGCGTTTTTGTGTCTGCTCTTCTTTTGAAATTAATCAGATACAGGCGGCATTTGCATGCACTCCCACACTTACAAAGAACTGTCGTGAGTCCCGCTAAGTAGTCCACCGTCAGACAGCATGCCAAAAACCCGCGCCTGCTGAACACGAGATGAAGAAGCAAATATCACGGTCATTTGTTCCAGATAACTCGCTTCGAGAATGGGTAGGTTCGGAGTTCCGACAATAAGTCCCTTATGAATGTAGTGATGATGATGATGCAGATGCAATGAAATGATGCAGGACGCCTACACGCATGCGGAGTAAAATTAAAAGTTAGCTGCTGATGTTCGCTAAGGGGGGCGCATCGCGCAGGGATGACTGTGCAAGTAATTGAATAATTAATACCGTAAAGCTAAGCGCTCGTAGCTGCCATTCCCAGTCTGCCAAACGCATGAGGCAGCAGCACTCACATAAAATAACGAAGCTTAAAGCATGATCTTCGGTAACAATATCACTCACTGATGAGACCGGGAACACAGATGTCCTCCTAACTGGAGGACCACCGCTCACCCAGGCCGGAGATCACGAGCAATCTGTCCGGAACGCACTGTTTGCACTGCACGGTTGAAAGCACTCAAAACATCACGGATCGATCGGAAAGATAGATCCTTGCCGATGGATCACAATATGGCATGGGCATCGTAGATCCTTCTGATGTGGAAAGCGTGTTATGAATATCCACCCGCTGTGTGGATCATGGATTCACGGATCACAGCGGTCTGGGATTAAAATGTACTGATCGGAGGATCACAGATCACTTTGATCGGTAGATCGTGGACGACACTGGTGTGACGTCTCACGTCTTATTGGCCCCGAGGTCAGGGACCACACTTTTAGGTGGACCACACTGACCTTGGGAGGGAGCACGATTGGGGGATCAAGCTGGAACCTAAGGGAGGCATGAAACACGCAAATCCAACTGACAGATAAAACTGAAAATAAATGGAAGGATTATGAAAAGGTATCACGCTGGCCAAAGTTTTCTAACCACGCGTGTCGAAAGGAAAAAATAAAGTGACTTGGAAAACAAACGATCATTGGTAGCGAAGACCAAGGCATGAAATCAAGGCATGAAGTCAAGGCATGAAACCATTTCACATGGTCGCCTTGAGCAAATTATTGGGCATCCTCGATTAAACTGTTCCGCAAGTCACCAATCACTCTAACCGCAAGGGAACAACTTAGCACTGAAACTGCACATCGGCTTGGCGCTGAGATCACAGATCCCTCAGAAGACCACTGACCAGGCCGGCAGACCGCTGACCAGACCGACAGACCGCTGACCAGGCCGACAGACCGCTGACCAGGCCGGCAGACCCCTGACCAGGCCGGAAGACCGCTGACCAGACCGACAGACCGCTGAACAGGCCGACAGACCGCTGACCAGGCCAGCAGACCGCTGACCAGACCGACAGACCGCTGACCAGGCCGACAGACCGCTGAACAGGCCGGCAGACCGATGACCAGACCGACAGACTGCTGACCACACCGACAGACCGCTGAACAGGCCGGCAGACCGCTGACCAGGCCGACAGACCGCTGACCAGACCGGCAGACCACTGACCATGTCGACAAAACCGCTGACCTGGCCGACAGACCGCCGAACACTCGGACGGCCGGCGGAAGATCCGCGCGCGCGCCCGCGGCCGCAGTTGCGCCGCTTGGCTGATGATGGACCGATAAACAGCCGGCGACGGGCCGCTGACGGTCCTGCTGCTGTCACGTGACACCTGAATGAGCTTCGTGATGCATCGCTGATCGTCGGAAGACGGCGGTGGGTGCTGACACGCCACAGGTCATCGAAGGTCACGACAGGTCGGACGGCGCGGCGCGGGCGGCGCTGGGGTGGTCGGCGCCGGTCCGTGGCGTGACCTCGACGGCTCAGGTGATCCGACCACGGGAGACGGACTTTTGTGGGCAATTGGAACGTCCGCGTTGATAGGGGATCAATGGAGAAGGAAAGAGAATCAGGAAAGAGACACGACCACAGGACGTTAGTAACGCTAGGCGATGAACAGAGGAGGGAATGTAATTAGGAGGGAGACACGGTCACAGGAGTTACCCTCATACGAATATTAATAGAATATGCGTATAAAATATATATATATATATATATATATATATATATATATATATATATATATTATTTGTATTATATATAATATACATCTATTGTTATATATTATATATCTTAGTTATATATAATATCTATATAAATATATAGAAAATAAATAGGAGAATATAGTGGAAAATAAGGAACATACACGACATGGAAGAGGGAAGAAGCGTCAGCCGCAACTGAACAATTCTTTAGAAGACACGAAGACGGAAAGGAAAAAAGAAAGACCCAACGCAATTGTAGAGTCCGGGGTGGGGGTGAGAACCGAGGACAGGTACCAGAACAAGGGAAAACACTGGAACAACAGAGAACAAGTTCAGCATTTATCAGTGATCCCCTCGTCCATGTTGTTCCACTCCGGTGAGTTGCATCCCACCAATCTAACGGCGGAGCTTTCCGAAGGCGCAGCGCTGACACAGCGTATCGCTTCCCGTGCCGCTGCTGGCGCTGGCTCCGGCCGGCCGGACGCTCAGCTGATCCTCTCCGCCAGCCCCGTGAGGGCCGTACCTGGGCCGCGCGCGTGCGCCGCGCGCCGACGGACAGCCCGTCGGCGTAAGTCTGCGCGCCTAATGAAGCCGATTCGTCTTGTTTCGCCAGACCGTTTCGCTGATTCGTTGCCCGCGCACGCATCCGACATAAATCCCTCGGCGGCGCAAGCGGCTGACGCGCGGTCAGTGACACCACGTGGCGCTGGAGGACACGCGCGCCCCGTTCTCACGTGGCGGCCGGCAGGCGCAGGCGTAACCACGGCAGGCGCGAGGTAAGGCGGGAATGTAAGGCGAAAGG